TCAGTGTGTTGCAGGAGCAGAAGAGCGAGCTGCGCAAGCGGCTGTCCTACACCACGCACAGGCTCCAGAAACTCGAGAGCGAGTTCGGCTCCACGCGCAGCTACCTGGAGGTCGAGCTGCGGCGCGCGCAGGAGGAGCTCGAGAAGGTCACTTTGAAGCTGCGCAGGTCAGGGTACGGGACGGCGGGGAAGGGTGGGTTTGGGCGGCGCGGGCGGGCGGGCTTACAGGTCGGTCTGCGGCGCGCGCCGGAGCTCTGCCTCCCGGAGCCTTTGGAAGACGGGGGCGTCCAGGGTCCAGTGAGGGTAAGCGCTTTTCTCCGAAGTCTCCTTGTCCCAAGAGCTACTGAACCAGGACCTGAGCCCGGGTCTGGCCACCGCAGGGACGGGCTCCTTCCCATTCCCCATCCCTGCTCCCTCCCTCCTTCCCGCATACTGATCGGCGTGACAGCAGCAGGACAGGGAAGCTGACCACAAAGAGAATGCAAATTTTGCTGTTGGCTGTTTATTTTGGTTTTGTATTTTAAGATTTTTTTAATTGATTTTGAGAGAGAGAGAGAGAGACGAGGCACAGAGCACCTGATTCCTGCCCAGCGCTGGCCTCCGACGTCACGCTTCCTCCGGACCATGTCATGTCACCGTGTGACGCAGCACTCACCCTAGGGCCCACCACACGGTCTTAAGTCTCTTCCCAGCTGAGCTCGGATAGAGCAGAACCCCCTCTCCAGGCTTGCGAGCCCTGGGTGTGAAACCTGAGTCAGCCGGCTCCCGCAGTCTCTTTGAATAACAGGACTTCCCTCTGTCTCCAGGGGTCCTGGCCCCTCCCCAAGAAAGGCCTCCGAGTTAGCTTTAATCAGATGTTTTCTGCTGCAAGTGGAGGAGCAGTTAGACCAGAGTAGGGCCAGCGGGTGGGCTCAGGGGGCCTTTGTTCAGCCTGGCCCTGCTCAGCAGATCGTGTGGCCCGTGGGGGGCACGGGAGGGCCAGACCAGGCGCCGAAGTGGCTCTTTTGCCTCCCATTCCAGGATTCAAAGCAACTACATGTCGCTGCAGCGGATCAACCGGGAGCTGGAGCAGAAGCTGTACCGCATGGTGAGGGTCCCCCGCCCCCCCCCCCCATGCCCACTGCCCCCAGCTCTGGCTGTCATCCCCTTGCCCGGGCAGAAGCTGGGTCACACGCCTTATTTCCTGACACACAAACTCGTCGCTGGGGCTGGGGCTGGGGCTGGGTCTGTCCCACCCTTTGTGCACTGAATGGAGGGTGCCCTCAGGAAGGGGAGGCGCAGGGTTCAGACCCCTTGAGCTCCCGTGGCAGGTGTGAGCGCCAG